AAAACATAGTCTAGAAAGATATCCAACAGAACAATGAAAATAGTTAAAGTTAAAAATGAACCAGGCGCCGGGCAGTGGTGGCACACACCTTTAATCCCAGCACTTGGGAGGCAGAGGCAGGTGGATTTCTGAGTTTGAGGCCAGCCTGGTCTACAGAGTGAGTTCCAGGATAGCCAAGGCTACACAGAGAAACCCTGTCTCGAAAAACCAAAAAATAAAAAATAATAAAAAAATAAAAACAAACCAGGCATATTGGTATACTCTTTAATCTCAGCACTCAGGAGGGAGAGGCAGGCCAATCTCTGTGAGTTCCAGGCCAGCCAGAGCTACACAGTGAGACCATATCTCAAACAAACAAACAAACAAACAAACAAAATAGACAAAGGAGAGTTAAAAATCAGTCAGGCGGGGGCAGAGAGATGGCTCAGCGGTTAACAGCACTGACTGCTCTTCCAGAGGTCCTGAGTTCAATTCATCCAGGCATGGTGATTCACCTCTGTCATCCAGCACTTGGGAGGCTGAGTTTAGGAGGACCAGTGTGAAGCCCAGACCAGGCTGAGTTATGCTGTGAGCTTCCAGATCAGTCTGGGATCGAGTAAGATTCTATCTGGAAAAAGTAAACATATAAAAGTTTTAAAACGGGGCCAGTAAGATGGTTCATCAGGCAAAGTTCTTGCCAGCACACTGACCACCTGAGTTTGATATCTCTCTCTCTCTCTCTCTCTCTCTCTCTCTCTCTCTCTCTCTCTCCCTCCCTCCCTCCCTCTCTCTCTCTCTCTTTCTCTCTCTCTTTCTCTCTCTCTCTTACACACACACACACACATATATAAATGAAACAATTTTTTTAAGTGAGAAAAGGGGGCTGGAGAGACAGCTCAGTAGTTGAAAGCTCTGGCTGCTCTTCCAGAAGCCCAAGGTTCTAGTCCTAGGAACCCCAGGGAGGTTCTAGCATCTCCAGTTCCAGGGGATCTGATACCTTCTCCTGGCCTCTGCAGACACCAGGCACACACAAATGGTATACAGACATACATGTAGGCAAACCACCCATACACATAAAATAAAATAATTTTTTAAAGTGAGAAAAGACACTCCCAAAAGCCACAGAGATGTTAAGTGAAAATCCTAGTAACAGGGGAGGATTACCTCATTATGAACTGCTGGCTAAGGAGGTCCCTGAGAACCTATAATAAATGCAGTTGCCATTGTTGATGGCTGCACACCAGAACTAGATGACAACTCCTTATTGCCCAAACACTATACCCTCTGGTTGCTGGGCACAGAGACGTCAAGCTGGGGCAGGCTTTCTTCCTGATGGCTAGTGTAGTGGCTATTCCTGGTTGTCAACTTGACTATATCTGGAATGAACTACAGTCCAGAATTAGAGGGCTCACCTGTGATCCAGATCTTGAGGCTGGAAGTCACAAGCTTCTGACCTACATCTTTGCATGGAGATCCTGAGGCATAGTGGCCATGAAAAGCTTAGGGCCAGGTAAGGTAGCACATGTTTTTAATCCCAGGAGACTGAGGCAAGGAGATCTCTGAGTTCAAGGTCATTCTGGGACAACGCAAGTCCCAGATCCAGGCGTGGTGGTACACACTTTTAACCTGGGCCACACCTTCTGCTGGAGGCCTGTATAAGAACGTTGGAAGAAGGAAGATTCACTCTTTTTCACCTGCTTGTATTACTTGCCAGAACATCTGTTGGAACCCACTTCTACAGAAGACCAGCTGAAACAACTAGCCTCGTGGGACTGAGCAACTCCTAGATTCTTGAATTTCCCATTCACAGCTGCCCACTGTTGGGTAAGTTGCACCTCAGACTGTAAGTCATCACTATAAATTCCCTCAATATAGAGAGACACGCCATAAGTTCTGTGACTCTAGAGAACCCTGACTAATACAGCTGGGATAGATAATACCAGAAGACACTGTACAGGCTGCTAAGAATTGTTGCTGTCAGCCCTGTGCAGCTCTGGATCCCACATACCCCATTACCAACATGGGCAATAGTCATTCTGCTTGCACCAGTGGCATGGCAGGAATGGGTGCAACCAACTACTTTCTAATTGGATTTAAGGCCCACTCTAGAAAACTTCTATACATCAGGGCAAAGCCCTGTGGCTGGCTAGTCATAGGCGTCAGGGGGAGGCTAAGGTAGGTGAATATGCATTTATGTTCATAGCCATATAGGACTGCTACATTTCAGCCGATGTCCACCGTAACTGTTTTCTGGGAGGGTGGAGGTTACTATGGAGATTCATAACCAATGGGAACAAGCAACTGATGTTTGGGCATAGTATCCCAGAGCTTAGAAAGGAATCAGACCTACATTCACCCCGTCTGTACACGGTTGAAGAGGTGGTAGAAAGAGACTTAGGGGAAGGAGTGGAATATTCTGGTGTCACTATTTCCTTTTGGAATGACGTGGTCACCGTCAGGAAGCAGAAGTTGCTGAGGGGACCAAACAGTACCTGGGTCTTGCAGCCATAGAACAAAACAAAGCAAGTGTAATGGGTATGGTCATGTGTCTGGAGAAGATCACCAGATCCAGAATGTTTAGGGTTCCGGCCACCAGGCATGTCTGCGCCCTCACTGGTTATAGCCTTGTGTAATGCTGACAGTGTAGGATGTGGAAGGTTGACTGGGGGTCAGGACTTATGATACAGTCCTCCTCCATGTGTGGAGGCACTTGCCCCAAGGCAGCTGCTCTCCAGTCACCCAGTAATTAACCCCAGGAAACTTGCCAAGCTGAACTTGGATGGAGCCATTTCTCTTCACGGGCCAACCGACTTTGATAGTGCCAGCTTTAATCCTCTGCGACATCTCCCTGGCCCCGAGAGAAACTTATTCTTGCACATTATATCTTGAAGAAGACTTTATTCAACTACTGAAATAGGGTTTGGCACCACTGCAGTAGGAGAAAGAGAGATCAGGCCTGGCTGGGCCCTAAGCAGAGCTTACAATTATGAGCACACAGCCAGTGTGCAGAGTGAGGGGCCTGGTGAGTGGAAAATTACTAGGAGGAGACATCAGGCCTAGAGATGCCTATCCAGAGTGACATGTAACCCAGGCTAGCCTCTTATTTGTGGCAATCCTGGAGCCTCTGGAGCGTTAATGATTACAAGTGTAAGCTACCACACTACGGTGGCTTAGACCATCAAGGACAGAACTGTCATGGACAAACTGGAGATCCAGGTGAGAAGATGACAGGAGATCATTGAGTCTGGTGAAGGAGTTAGTCTGTCAACAATGTAATTTAACTACATGTTCTATCTATCAAAATACACTGTGAGAGTGGACACAACAGTATACACCTTTCATCTTAGCATTTAGGAGGCAGAGGCAGGCAAGCTCTCTGTTTCATAATAAAGGCCCTGTTTTTTATTTTATTTTATTCGATTTTTTTTTTGAGACAGGGTTTCTCTGTGTAGCCCTGGCTGTCCTGGAACTCACTCTGTAGACCGGGCTGGCCTCGAACTCAGAAATCTGCCTGCCTCTGCCTCCCAAGTGCTGGGATTAAAGGCGTGCGCTGCCACCACCCAGCCAGGGCCCTGTTTTATAGAACTAAAACAACAACCAAAACACAGTAAGTTCAAGGACAGCGTTGAGACCCTGCTTTTTAAAAATTTAAATGGAAAAGAACAGCTTTATTTAGGATATTTATTTGGATATTAGTGTATACATATATGTTCGCATGAGTGTGTGAGTGCCCAGGTGTGTGTGTGTGTCATGGTGTATATGTGGAAGTCAGAGAACGACATTGGGTGTCCTTGCCTTTCACCCACTTTGAGGCAGCGTGTCCTACTGCATAAATCAGGCTACCCAGCCACAGATTTTAGGATTCTTCCGTCTCACTGTAGGACTGCTGCACTGTGTGGGTTCTGAGGATTCTCACTGCATTGCGTGTGTGTGTGTGTGTGTGTGTGTGTGTGTGTGTGTGTGTGATGTCCTGTCTTGTCCCGTCGCGCCCCACCTCCCATTCCCACCCCAAGCCCTCTATCGCTAAAAGCATCTACCAGCCCAATCTTCAGGCTATCTTCTAGAGAGTTCCAGGCTAGCCAAGGATTCACACTGAAAAGCTGTCTCTAACAAACAAACAAGAGAAAAGAAAGAAAGAAATGAACAAAATTGGGATTTAGGGGTATGGTCCAATGGTAGAGTACTTGCCTAGAATTAATAAGGACCTGAGACTCAGCCACAGCACTAAGATTAAATGAATAAAATGAGACAATGCCTAAAATAAATAAATATTGTTATGGATTCCAATTCATTAAAGCTGGAAACATCTTATGTATATTTAAATCAACCTCAACTTAGAGCAGAGGTGGTGACCCATGACTATAATTCAGGAGGCAGCAGGCAGGAAGATCAGAAGTTGCCTGAGGGAAGTGCTATTGCTTTCGTTAAAATTCAGGGCAGTTCAAAATAACTTGGCCACAGCCGAGTCACACTTATAATTCCTCTGTAACCTAGCACAGTGCTTCTTCAACTTTGCTTTCACAGAAACTCGGTGATGGGTCCTTTTCCTAGGGCTTCAGGGCTTCAGGGCTTCAGGGCTTCAGGGCTTCAGGGCTTCAGGGCTTCAGGGCTTCAGGGCTTCAGGGCTTCAGGGCTTCAGGGCTTCAGGGCTGGGGCCCAGAGTCTGCATTTCCAGGTTTAAGTCGCTTGCCCCGTGGACCACACCTTGTGAGTGTTAGACCAAGTGCAAGGGAGAGTTTTAGGGGCTAGGCTTCTACTGCCCGGAGCACTGAGGACTGGCTGTTTTCCTTTTCCTTGCTCAGTTCTTTTCAGGCAGCCAGGACAGCCTGAAGGCCCCTGTGGATGGACAACCCCTGAGCTTCATCAACGCGCGTTCAGGGGTTCCGCCATTCTGGAGGGACACACAGACGCGAAAGATGCTTAGCCCACAGCTGCTCCGGAGTCACGTGGTCTGCAGAGGCTGGACCTCCTCTCCCAGCCTAGAGCCTCGGGCCGGGGCGGAGCTGGAGGCGGGTCCTCCTGGGGCGGGTCCTGGCAGAGGGTCCTCAGCAACCCCCGGAGGTGGAGCGGCTGGCCAGAGCGCCCACTGAGGAGCGGAGAGATCCCATCGTGGCGCAGTCATGCTCCGGGTCCCGCTGTGTACGCTGCTCCCGCTCCTGGCGCTGCTGCAGCTGCTGGGCACTGCGCACAGCGTCTATGTAAGTCTCCGGTGCCACCGCGCGGGGACGCTCCGCCGCTGGGAAGCGGGCAGAGGCCGATGAAAGCCGCGGCTCTGCAAAGTGGGGAGCCGGGTTCCCCTCGATCTTCCCTCGGAGCACGCAGGCCGCCAAGGGACAGGCAGTGGCCGGGCCTCCCGTAGGGGGCGGGACGGACGGGCGGGGCGCGCGTCCTTCCTGGTTGCTGGCGCGCGTGGGTTCCGCTGCGGCGGTCCCCTGCGCACGGACCTGCTTCCCCATTTGTGCAACGCGGTCGGGGGCTAGCTGAGGTGCGCCTGAGTCTTTCCAGCTTCGTTTTCTGGGGAGAGGGGCTCCAGGCTGCGCGGGGCTGCGAGAGGGCTCCGCGGGCAGTGGCGTGGGACGCGATCCTTGCGGACTTCGGGCTTCACGGAGCGCTCCGGAAGGAGAAAAATGGGGTCAGGAGAGGCTCCTGCAGTGGGGTCACAGGAATATTTGCTTTCGGAGACTTCTCCCTTTTCAAACACACAGTTCGCGTTTCTCGCTAGCCACCTGCTGGTTGCATTTAGTTTGAGGTGTGCTTCGCCTTGCTGGGAAGCCTTTTCTCTTTTAGGGTTTGGCAGTGCGGGTGGAGGGTGGGAATAGGCAAACTGCAGCAGGCGAGGTCTGGGTGGCAGGGCAGTGACTGAGGCGCGTGGGACACGCACATGGGGAGGGGTCCATACCGAACCTGCGAAGGGGACAGGGCGTGGTGGAACGCGGCTCCTACTCTTTTGCACTTTGAGCGAGTCGGCTTGGGGCCCTCCAGATGAACTGAGTCGGGGTTAAGTTCAAGTACTTGTTAGTAGACTTTGAGCCCTACGACTTGAAAACAATTATACTCTTGGAAATGGCACACGTTTATCTAAAACGAGAGTTGAAACGTAAGTTTCTGGAAAAACAGTTGCTGAAAATGCTTTCATTTAAGGAAAAGGAAAATGAGTGTGGTTGCTCCATCAGAGCTTGACGTCTTGAGAACCAGTGGGCAGAGGGGTCAACAGGTAGGGTAGAGGGCAGGAAGGAACCCATAAGTCTTCAGTGTCAGGATGGGCAGGAAGAGATAAGGATTTATGGAGGTCATCAGTCTGAAGTAAGTCACCAGGTAAGAAGTAGGAGGTGCCCTGGGAGAGCCCCACCCAGAGGCTGCTCTGTGATCACCTCAGCAATTCTTTTTTGTTTGTTTTTGTTTTTCGAGACAGGGTTTCTCTGTGTAGACCTTGGCTGTCCTAGAACTCACTCTGTAGACCAGGCTGGCCTCGAACTTAGAAATCCACCTGTCTCTGCCTCCCAAGTGCTGGGATTAAAGGTGTGTGCCACCACGGCCCGGCTCACCGAAGCAATTCTTAAGTGGATATCCTTCTTGAACATTTAGATTAGAGCCAGATCGACTCGACTAGCTGTCTGTTATTTTTGTTTGTTTGTATGCATCTGCAACATTAACTCTCAAACCAGACCTAGATTAAAAATAAAAACGTATACTTTTGCTTTTTCAAGACAGGGTTTCTCTTTGTAGCCTTGATCGTCCTGGAATTCATTCTGTAAAGCAGTCTGGCCTGAAAGTCAGAAATCCTCCTGTCTTTTTTTTTTTTTTTAAGATTTATTTATTTATGTCTATGAGTAGACTGTTGCTGTCTTCAGACACACCAGAAGAGACCATTGGATCCCATTACAGATGGTTGTGAGCCACCACGTGGGTGCTGGGAATTGAACTCAGGACCTCTGGAAGAACAGTCAGTGCTCTTAACCGATGAGCCATCTTTCCAGCCCCCTCCTGCCCTCTTAGGAAGTCGTTAACTGATTGATTGCACATTCATGAGCAATACACTTGTATGAAGAAATGTCTCAGTTTTTGGCTAGAGCTGAGTTACTTTAAGAGAAGTCCATTCTTTTGTTTGTTTGTTTGTTTGTTTGTTTTTTAATGGCGGGTTCTCAAGAAGCCCAGGCTGGCCTCAAACTTGGTCTGTAGTCAGACATAGTCTTGGTCTTCTGACGATCCTGCCTTCACCTCCCAGGTGCTGGGAATACCAGAATTCACCACTATGCCCTGTTTCTGTGGTGCTGAGTGTGGAACCTGGGTTTTGTTGATGCTAGGTGCTCTACAAACCCAGCTACATCCCCAGGCCCAGAAGTCAGATTCTTATGTTGCCATTTGCAGTCTGCAGTCAACTCAGGTTTTGGTGTCTTTGAAAACAAATATATTAGCCGGGCGGTAGTGGCGCACGCCTTTAATCCCAGCACTTGGGAGGCAGAGGCAGGTGGATTTCTGAGTTCGAGGCCAGCCTGGTTTACAGAGTGAGTTCCAGGACAGCCAGAGCTACACAGAGAAACCCTGTCTCGAAAAAACAAAAAACAAAAAAAGAAAACAAATATATTATACACTCACTGGAAGTGTGAAAATGATGTTTTACTGTTATGTGTTTACATGTAAGGATGTTTGCAGCAATGCTCTACTGTTGTTATGAAAACACTTGACTTGTGAGAGACTTTCCCCAGACTAAATGCTAACAACTCATCATTTAGAATAATAATTTTCCTATTATTAAAAAAAGAAAACAGCCTGGGGAGAGGGGCATGTAGTCCACACTTTTAATCCCAGCACTCAAGAAGCAGAGGCAGGGAGATCTCTGAGTTGGAGGCCAGTCTGGTCTACAGAGCAAGTTTTAGGACAACCAGGGCTCCACAGAGAGAGAGAGAGAGAGAGAGAGAGAGAGAGAGAGAGAGGGGGGGGGCGCCAGAGAGAGACAGAGAATGAACGAACGAATGAATATATGAGAATATGGTTCATGCCCACTGTGGGGAACCTTTAACTGTATGAAACGCTGTTAACACGGCAGTGGAAACTGAGGCTGGAGATGCCGTAGATTGGCTGCCTAGTGTGCATGAAACTTTGGGTCCCATCCTCATAAACCAACTGCATGGTAGATCATGCCTGTAACCCCAGCACCTGTTCAGTGGAGGCAGGAGGATTAGAAGTTCAGGGTATCCTTGGCCACATTGAATTCAAGGCCAGCTTGGGCTGCGTGAGACCCGTCACAAAAGGAAAAGGAAACTGCCCCTCGTGTATCACATCATGGTTGCGGTGTGTTTTTTGGGTTTTTTTTGTTTTGTTTTGTTTTGTTTTTTGTTTTTTGGGGGGAGTGGTTCGAGACAGTACTTCTCTGTGTAGCCCTAGCTGTCCTGGAACTCACTCTGTAGACCAGGCTGGCCTCGAACTCAGAAATCCACCTGCCTCTGCCTCCCAAGTGCTGGGATTAAAGACGTGTGCCACCACCGCCCGACCACGGTGTGTTTTAATATGAAGCCTGGCAGCTCGGTGGTGTTGGAGCGGCTTGGATTTAGGCAGGTTGGAGCCGTGTCTGTGGTCTGTGGGCTTCGGTTGAATGGGGATGAGGCTGCTCTGATGATCTATCCCATAAAGCTGATGCCAGTTCCTGGTTGCAGGCGGAGCTGACCTGGAAGTCTCTCATTGGCCACTGTCCTTTCTCAGGAAGTCACTTGCCTCCCAGAGCCCACCGGCACTGAGCTTTGGGGGACTCTTCAGGAGCTGAGAGAATGGTGCTCTTCAGGCAGCTGTCGCTGGGTTCCAAGGCTGCCCTGGCTGCAGCCACCGTCTTCGTGTCCATGATCCTTTCCCGCTCCTTTCTGGCCGAGACCCTTGAGCTCCGGGCCTGGCGCTGGCTGTTCCGCCTGCAGCTGGTCCTGTTCGTGAACTCGGTCATGCTCATTGGTTCCTCGTACATCTGGCGGAGCACAGTGAGTGACCTCAGCCATTCCCCTGCTGTGGAATCTACCTGTTTCCAGCTTTGGAAGCTGGTTGTCATGGCATTTCTGGCCCTGGCGCATTCCAGTTTCTTCACCATGCTCTTCTTGGTGGCCGAGGAACCCTACGTGTTTTCCTTAGCAGCCTACTCCTGCCTGGGTGCCTACATCATCATGGTTTTCTTCCTTTGTATCTTGAACGCCATGGAGCAGGTCTACCAGTTCTTAGCCTGGCGCAGTGGTCGGGTGGTAAGCAGTCTCGACAAGACAAGGCACCTGGTGCTCAGGCCTGCGCTGGCGGTGGCCGTGACAGCTGTGCTCAGTACCATTGGCCTTCTGAATGCTGCCCAGCCCCCAGTGGTGAAAACCGTGGAGGTGCCCATCCATCAGCTGCCCGCCTCGATGAATAACCTCAAGATTGTGCTCCTTTCCGACATTCACTTGGGGCCCACAGTGGGCAGGACCAAGATGGAGATGTTTGTGAGGATGGTGAACAGGCTAGAACCAGACATCACGGTGATCGTGGGCGACCTCTCTGATTCAGAGGCCTCTATCCTGCGGACAGCGGTCGCTCCTTTGGGCCAGCTCCGTTCCCGCCTCGGCACCTACTTTGTCACAGGTAATCACGAGTACTATACATCGGACGTCAGCAACTGGTTCACACTGCTGGAATCCTTGCACGTCCGGCCCCTACATAATGAGAATGTGAAGGTTTCTGTCCCCAGCGACCGGGACAGTGGTGGGAGAGATCCAGAATGGGTCTGCTTGGCGGGTGTGGATGACATAGAAGCAGACATCCTTCACTACTCTGGCCATGGCATGGACCTTGACAAGGCTCTGGAGGGCTGCAGCCCAGACGATGCCACCATCTTACTGGCTCATCAGCCTCTGGCCGCCAAGAGAGCCCTCCAGGCTCGGCCAGATATAAACCTGATCCTTTCCGGGCACACTCACGCAGGGCAGATCTTCCCCTGGAATGTCGCGGCCTATCTCCTGAACCCTTTCTTTGCTGGACTCTACCAAGTAGGCAAGGCTACATTTGTGTATGTTAGCCCGGGTACAGCCTATTATGGGATACCCATGAGATTGGGGAGCAGGGCTGAAATCACAGAACTGATCCTGTGGCGGGCTTCATAAACCTGCCCCAATGGCCCTGTCCTGCGCTGGCCTAGGACCTTCCTCCATCTCCTGCCCCGTCCCAACCTTGCCAGCACCCCTTTGGCCATAGCCTGCTGGGAACAGCCATATGCAGTGGGGCTGCCTGGCAAGTTCAGGCAGACTTAACTCTTCAGATAATCAATTGCTTTTTGACAATACACCTGTGGGTTCACTTGGCCACTTAAATGCAAACACACATTTGTTTTCCAGCTGCTGTAGAGAGGGGGTCCGTTTGCAGGCAGGGTGTGGGATGGCTGGAAAGGGCACCTCTCGACCAAACTCAGGGAGTGGCAGGAACGCTTGTCTCCTGTGGGTCTAGCCCTGGTTAGGCCTTGGGTGGGCTCTGGAATTCTTTGATTAGAGATAGTTGGTTTGAGCATGGGCCATGTTGAGAGGTACCTCCCCTCTGCTTCCCAGAGGAGAGTATCTCTTTCCTCTTTGTCAATCAAAGTCACCTTTATGGAGGACATCGACAAACCCCATTGCATCATGGTGCCCTTTCTGTCTGTACCTTGAGGGGTGCTGATTACTGTGCTGGGTGGCTGGGCCAGGATGGCTGGAGACGAAATCATGGGGACTGTGGTAGGGGATGACTGCCATACCTTAAGCACTTGGTAGCTCTGAGTCCCAGATTCTTTGTAGTCTTTGGGTGAGATGATTAAGGACAAGCTGCTTCTGTGTTTGGGGGGTGAGGGAGAACACGTGATGTGATGAGATATCTTTAAAAACACAGTGACAAATACTTTCCTAGACGGTGCTTGACTTCAGGTTCCAACTGAACTCAGTCTGTGAAGGGGAGCTAACTACATCCTTCTAAAAGTGCATTCTACGGCCGGATGGTTTAGTATCTTTAGAGGTTACAGTGAACACTGGACCCTATATTCAGATAATCGAGACCTCAGAGTCCCATATTCCCTTCCAAGTAGTTGGCTTGTTTGAAGCAGGCTTCGGTTCACTCATAGCTAGGGAAGGGGAGGCCTCTAAAAGAGTCAGTCGCTCGTTACATGAGATCATCTGTTAACAGTCTTGGAGTTCAGAGGTTGGCACCTCCTACCCATCACGTCAGGTTTGGGTCTGAGATTTTGGTGATTGCTGAGGTTTCTTGTCTACCCATAGGAAAGTTGAAACTGCCGTGGGTATGGGGGTATGACCCAGCTCTGCCTCTGCAGGTTGCTCTAGGCCCTGGCTATGGAAAGACAGGATTGTCTTACCTGCTTGGGGGGAATTCTAACCCATCTACCTTGGCCTTTGGCCACAGAAGCACAGAGTCATTCATAGGGCTTCTAGACCCACGAGGAAAACAAAAGGAGCTGTCTCGTGTAGTGCCAGCAGATTTGTTGGCCTATCTAGCCTTTGCCCTTCGCATAGCAGAAAGCTAGCTGATCTTAGGAAAAGCCTCTTCGGAGGTGTGTTTAAGAGCATCTGGGTAGCTGAGAGTCCTCTGTCTGAAGCAGGACTTCCTGCTGCTTTGTGAGAGACGGTGGAAGCCCGGCAGAGACAAGTCCTCCTAGATTCTTAGCTTCCACCATCCCGGAAATGGCTGTACTTTTTGTATCTACCTCAAGGCTTCTTTGCTGAGAGAATGCTGGGCCCGTACCCACGGTGAGCACGCAGTGTAATAGTAACGTGCTCATCAGTGCACCGAGACCTGGTAAGGAACATTGCTAAGCACAAGTGCCTAGAGAGCCAGCCCAGCGGAGCGTCAGTGGGTGACGGGCTGCCCTCCAGTGCAGCCCAGCTGTCCGTGTGACTTACTAAGAGCCACCTTCCTGGCGAGTGCCTGAGTTTCCTCTGCACACTCTGCTTCTGTGAATGGGGGATGATTCTTCAACTTTTTTTTTTTCTTCTGGTGTGATGATGTCTAGTGGGTACAGGAGGCTACTGACTCATTTTCTCCCAGTACGTAGGGTATTGGCAGGGGACCATCTGGTCACTAAATAAATAAATAAAGCAAGCAAGCATATCTGTAATTCCCAACACTCAGCAGATAGAGACAGAAAAATTAGGAGCTCACAGCTAGTAGTGAGTTTGAGGCCATCCTGGGATCTGTCTTTGCGGGGCGGGGGGGTAGTGGGGGGAGGAAGAGAGAAATATCTTTGTCTTGATACTGTGATGTTCTCATTTCCTTCCCACCCTGGACAGGATTTCGGTGCACCAGGAGAGATTTTATAAAGACCACGATCTGTTGTTGGGATTCTAGGGGAGGCCACAACTCAGCACCTTGCTCCCCCAGACCTCCTCTGGGCACAGCTCACACCTGCCACCCCTTCAGCCTCACGAAGGTCCTTTCTCCATGTTCTCCATCTCTGCTGATTCAACCTTTTGGGTCTCAGCTGCCCTTTCTGTTCTCCTCAGCTTTGGAATTCACCAGACTGTGTGAGCCTTCTCACGTAACCCTCCTGGGCTACTAGAGGCCTTTTGACTCCTGCCATTCCTGTTGTCTTACTAGTTCTTTGATTTCTGGATCTTTCTCTTCAGGGCATTAGACCTATCCTGGGTCTCATTTTGTTTTTGTTTTTGTATTTTGTTTTTTTTTGTTTTGTTTTGTTTTGTTTTTCGAGACAGGGTTTCTCTGTGTAGCCCTGGCTGTCCTGGAACTCACTCTGTAGACCAGGCTGGCCTCGAACTCAGAAATCCGCCTGCCTTTGCCTTCCAAGTGCTGGGATTAAAGGCGTGTGCCACTACCGCCTGGCGGGTCTCAATTTTTATACCGTTGTTTTGTGACCTGTGTGCACATCATCCATTGTGGCTTTCAGTTGTTTGGTTTTGCTTTTTTTTTTTCTTCTTTTTTTGAGGTGGGGTCTTGCTTTGTATACCAGATGGCCTTCAATTTGCAGTTATCCTCCTGCCTCTGCCTCCCGAGAGCTGGATGCCAGCATGTGTCACCACACCTGGCTCCTTCATCCTCTCTGAACCCTCTGCTTTGCCAAATGCTTTTCTATTAACAGAATGGGGTTGGGTTGCCACTAGGTGAAAGATAACTTGCTTTGTAAGTGTGAGGCTCTGGGTTTGATCTCAGGACGTCACAGAAAGGATTTCAGTTGGCTCAGCAGGCAGCCTCACAAACCTTGCTTCAGTTCCCTCTCTGGGACCCATGGCAGAAGGAAAGAACCGACTCCATAGAACTGTCCCCCACGGAGGCGGTGCCGTGTGTGCCCACACTTCCACCCAGTGCACATGCGGTAATATAAATACAATAATTCTCTAATGACATGAGAGACTGCCTGTCCTTCTGAAGGCCTTGTATCCTTATAGAAAGGAAATGGTGATGCCGCGTTCTCTCAGGTCCTCTCTCCTTGATCTTAGACTGCTTTTTCACCTTCATGCATTCTGGGCTCTCAGTGTGTTAGGACACAGTGTTCATGACACTTCTTCCTCCTCTTTCCCTCCTTGACTCAGTCTCCCTAAGGAGGCCAGCTGCTCTGGAATTCAAGCTTTTCTGGTCTCTGCCTGCACTCTTGGGACTGCAAGTGTGTCACCATGTCCGCCACGCCTGCCATGCCAGCCTCTTACAGTCACTTTTGTTTCTGCGGTTCCAGGTGTACTTTTTCTCAGAAGAGAAGGTGTACCTTTCCCTTCTGAATCCAGCTGTTGGGGGTGTAGTTAAAGGGTGTCTATTGCATTGTTGCCAAATATCTGTCTTGCTTACTCTTGAGCTGTTTTCTTCCGCTCCCTGTTCCATTGATCTCTGTTCAGTTTGTTGGTTTGTTTTTTGTTGTTTGGAGACAGGGTATGTAGCCCTGGCTAGCCTGAAACTCACTACATAGACCAGGCTGGCCTAAAAGTCGAGGAGATCTGTCTGTTTCCCCATGCCCAGTTCTTTCTCTAATTTCTTGAGGAACTGCCTCTTTACAGTTTTATCTTTGTTTTGAGTCAAAGTCAGAAAAGGTTCCGTATATCATGTGGGCCACTTCTCTTTAAGTGTATAACAGTCCTCTTACCCATGCGGGAGGCACACACACACCTGCGGGCACGGACACACGCACACACAAATGCCTACATATACACGCATGCACACATGCATGCACACACAGGTTAAAATAATTGAGAACATTTTTACTTAATGGATATTTTAAAAGGCGTGTGTGTGTGTGTGTATGTGTGTGTGTGTATTACTAATGTGAAGGTCAGAGGAAGATCCTTTTCTTCTTGTGGGTCTCTGGGATCAAACTCATATTCTGCCAAGCGCCTTTACTCAGGTTTTTCTATTTTTAATCATGTGTTGGTCCGAGTATCTGCATATGGGCGTGTGCACATGATTGCAGGTGCTTAGGGAGCCAGAGGCCTGGAGCTGGAATGACAGATGGTTGTGAGTGACAGACGCTGAGCCACCAAGCTTGCCGTTGTTCCATCTCCAGCTTCCTATTTTTATTTTTAAAAGTATACATTTGTCTTTTCCCCTCTGAGATACAGGGACAGAATTAAGCTGACCACTAGCCAGGAGTGCTGGAGGATTAGGATCCAGACACAAGTGCCCGTTGCTCCTACTGTCCTCCGTTTTGCTGTCCCCTGCCTCCCTGTGGCAATGTCCTCTCTTTAGCCAGGCATTTCACATAAAACAAGCAAGATGAGTAAGCATAGGTATAGGGTAGAGCGAGTATCCACAGGTATGCCCTGGGGGCATTGCCACAGGGAACTTCAGTTGCTTCGCTTAACCAGCCTGTTGGAAATAATGTCCTGGCCACGGCAGCCTCTGGACTTCCAGGCATCTGAAATCACTCGTGGCTTTCTCTTGGTGACCTTAAGGGACCATGGGCCCTTAAGTGTGCAGAGCCCTCCCTCCCCTCCTCCTTTTTCCATAGCCCTGGGTTGCTGGTGAAACAGCTGGGTTTTTCCACCCTGGAGCTGAGGTGCCCCTACCATGATCTCCACAGGCCTCTGGGATGAGTCAGCAGGGCTCGTGGGGTGTGAGTAGAGACCCTTTGGATTGGAACTTCCCAGCTTTCTCCCAGGAGACCTGGAGACCAAGATCTCGCTTGACCAGTTAATTCATAATAACCCAAACCTATGACGTCACCAAGCTGTTTTACTCAAGTCCAGGAATGTGCACAGGGGATGCAGATATATTTATTTTTGGGGGAGACCAAGGACTAGAACTCTTAGGGGAGATGTTCAGGTTACCCAGTGATGCTTATACCACGTTATGGTTAGTGTTTTG